AGGGGCTGCCGTGGTGCCTTGCAGAGCTGGAGGCGGAGGAGTGGTACAAGACGCTGTCGGTGGAGTGCCTGGGCGCCCGCCTGAACGACATCAGCCTGGGGGAGCCCGACCTGCTGGCGCCCGGTGTGCAGTGCGAGCAGACGGGTGAGCGCGGCGGCGGGTGCTCGCCCGGGGCTCCGCCTCGCTGCACCCCCAGCAGATTCTTTTATTTTCTATTTTTTTTCCCCTCTCCAGACCGGTTCAACGTGTTCCTCCTCCCCTGCCCCAACCTGGACGTTTATGGCGAGTGTAAGCTGCAGATCACCCACGAAAACATCTACCTCTGGGACACGCACAACCCGCGGGTGAAGCTGGTCTCCTGGCCCCTCTGCTCCCTGCGCCGCTACGGCCGCGACGCCACCCGCTTCACCTTCGAGGCCGGACGGTGAGATGTCACCCTTGCCAGGACAGGGATCACGGCTGTGTGCCTTTGTCCAGCTGGGCAGTGGCGCTGCTGGCATCACCACAGGGCAGGCCTGAGGCTGGGGTGATGGCCGTGGCTTGTACTGTGTGCCCATGGCAGGCGGGGCCTGGAGCTGGTTCTGGTCCCAGATCAACACCATGAAGGGGACGGGACGTAGGCACAGCTGTAACAGTATGGGAAGCTGCACCAGCTGCCATCTGGGGTGGGTTTTGTTTATCGTCCCTTGGCCTGAAGACCTTGGTGACGTGCTGTGCCCTGTCCCCACAGGATGTGTGATGCAGGAGAAGGTCTCTACACCTTCCAGACGCAGGAGGGTGAGCAGATCTACCAGCGCGTGCACAGCGCCACATTGGCCATTGCTGAGCAGCACAAGAAGGTCCTGCTGGAGATGGAGAAGAACGTCAGGGTGAGCTCCAGCCCATGCTGAGGGGGGTCACAGCTGGGGGAGACTCTGGGGGCCCTGTGTCACCCTCCTCCCCCACCATCCACTGCAGCTGCTGAACAAGGGCACTGAGCACTTCTCCTACCCCTGCACCCCCACGACCATGCTGCCCCGCAGCGCCTACTGGCACCACATCACTGGCTCCCAGAACATGGCCGAGTCCTCCAGCTATGCTGGTGAGTCTCTGCACCCCATCCCAAGGAGATGCTGCTCCTCCAACCCCCAGAGCTTTCCCCACCAGGTGAGCCCACCCTATTTTGTCCCCAGGGGAGGCGTATGCAGGCGCCCAGGCCAGCTCGGACACCGACCTCCTCAACAGGTTCATCTTGCTGAAGCCAAAGTCCTCCAAAAGCGACAAGCCTGAAAGCAGGGAGCCCACATCATCCCCGTGAGCTGGTGTGGAGGGACTGTGGCAGGGGTCCCCTTTTTCTTCTCCAAGGGATGGCAAGGACACAGGCAGTCACCCCTCAGAATCTCCAGGAGACTGAGCTGGGGCACCTCAGTGCTGAGACCTTAGGAAGCAGGCACTGGCTCACGCCCTGGTCTGGCGTTAGTGGAGGCAATGGCTGGCTCAGCCTCAACTGACTTCAAATATATATAGAATATCTGTATTGTAAGAGATATTTCCTTCTCACATGAATGCAAATGTGGTGGCTGCTGAAGAGCCCTTGGGCAGATGCTCAGAGGTTTTTGACTCTCGGGGATCCAACTGGGAAGTGAAGAGAGGTGGAGGGGGGTCAAGAAATTTGGAGTTTTCTGCATGGCAGGAAGGCTGGAGCATCACTCTGCCATGGCCATGGAGCAGCATCGGAGGATGCAGCTGTGCCAGGCTGATAGTGCAGGGTCCCACCCCTCCATGAAGAGCTGGGTGCTCCTGAGGACACCCTGCTCACATCTCTGAGCTGATTTTTGCACTTCTTCAAGCTATTTAAACACTCGCTGTAGAATTGAGATGTCTCAGGAGAAACTGGTTTTCCTTCCAGGGGGTTGGCTGGGGTGAGCGGCTGGACAGAGCCAAGCTCCCTGGCTTCTCCCACCCCAACACCCCTCACTCCTCCCACAGCTGTGTCCCCCTGCCATGCCCCCGGTTTATCTGCTGGTGGGCAACCACGGGACTGGTTTTGGCCAGTAGCATCTGTCTCTCAAGGGGCAGCTTTGTGAATAGGAGAAGCCCCAGGGCAGAGAAACCCATGCTGATGGGGAGAGAGCCACATTCCTCTGTGCATTCCCATAGCCCTCACTCCCTCCTCACCCACTGGAGGTGGAACTGGGCTTTATGTGCTGAACTTAAAAGCAATTGATTTTTTCTAGTTCTCCTATTTATTGACCTCCTTTAGAAGGGCTATCTTTTTATTGCTGTGCAAACCTTGGTGTTTCTTTGGAGTCTTCTTTCTGTCTGGATTGGATGCTTGATGGTTTTATTTCTGCCCTTTAAAGCTCCGGGTCCATGTGTTGGGCACAGGGAGTGTTGTGATGTGGGAATCTGTGGTCTGTAAATACTGTGTTTCAGGGTGGTGTAGCTTGTGGCTGAAGGGACATGGGGACAGAGAAAGGCTGCTCCTCATAGCGTGACTGGGCACAGAGGGGCTCTGGACCCTAGCACTGCCCAGCAGTGTGTCCTCCCTGGGGTGAGAGGTGGAACCTGCTCTCTTTTCCTGGCTACACACCTCATCCGGAAAAGATTTAACATTTGTTACCAAAAATGTTTGGGTTTTCTCTTTTTTTAAGGAGTTGCTCAATGAATAAACAACCCTTATCCACATCCACCCTTCCTGTTTGTCTGTTCCATCCAAGCACGCTCGGGAAGCGCAAGTGGGAGTAGTGCATGCCAGAGAGAAAAATGCTGATGGGGGGAGATTTCCTGAGGTTCCTGGCAGCACACTTGGCTCAGGGCTTTGTTCTGCCTCCAGCCATGGCCAGGACATTTCAAATGTAGCCTTAAAACCACTGGGATAGGAAGAAGGGTGGAGTGAGTTGCCACTCTCCATCAAACAACCCTGAGTGGAACAGGATGCCAGCATGTCACTGTCACCCTCACCTCCAGCTGCCTGTGGCTCTGGGGATGTGCCAGGCCAGTAGTGGCTCGAAGGAGTTTAAAGGCACACAATCTCCCAGCTCTCCCAGAGCTGTGCCAGGTTAGCTGTCCATGCCATGACTATGTGGCAGCACTGGCCTCAAGGTAAGACAGCCATGCCAGCCACAACAGTGATCCCTCCAGGGACAGGGACATGGGCAGCCACACTGCAGCCACCTCTGCCATGGCAAGGAAATGGAAGCAGCAGCCTGAAGGGAAAGGCAATGCTGACATGGGCTGTTCTCCCCAGCTCAGCATGACCCTACCACCACCCCCTGAACTGTCCCCATCCACACCGGGAGGAGCACAAGGGCACACCGGCTTTCCCCTCCCTCTCAGCCCCATGGTACAGGAGCTGCAGGTCTCCCAGGAAAGTGTCACCAAGAAGCACATCCCAAGTCATGCTGGCCAGTGATGGAGGGGAAGAGGAGGGGTGACAAAGGCCGTTGCTTTCAGCCACTGCCAGGGGCGTCAGGGCATGGGACCTGCACCAAACTCCAGCCCAGCACATGCTGGGGACTGTGGGCACAATGAAAGGTATCAGCCAGCAGCCATTACTGACAGACCATGTGCCACCCAGCTCCTGAAAAAAGGGTTATACAGCACAGGGGTGGAGTCTGTTCCAGAGGATTCTGTAAGTACAGCTTTGCCTGCCTGGCCCAGCTGGGCTCCCCTGCAGCGCTGCCTTCTGCAGCATCTCGCCCACCCTGGCCTCAAACATCTGCTTTAAACACATCACTGGATCAATGAACGCCGGGCTGCCTGCAGGAGGGGTGCTGCTCTCCTCAGGAGATAATGTCACAAGCAGCAATCAGCAGCAGCAAGCAGTGCTCCCTCCAAAGCAGATCTCATTAAGTTAATGCCTATTGGAGAGAAGTAAATGATGTGACATCCCCTCCAGCAGCCTTGGATGAGCTTCCAGGGATGACAGAAAAAATCGGGGGTAAGGCTTTATTCAGCACAGTAAAGAATACACATGTAAATAAAGTAGGGTTGTGTAACAAAGGTACACACTTCCCAATCCCAAACATCACATGGCCAAAATCCAACACCAGAACAAAAACTCCAGGATCGCTTGGAGACAAAGCCTGTCCCAGCTAAGATGCTCACTGACTGATTCCCTTCCTATTTTATCCTACACACCATAATGGCTTTCCCTGGGAAGGAGCCTCAGTTGATAGTGAGGACATCACTCTGGATCTCGTGGCTCAGCTGTGTCTGGAGATCACTCAGTTTCTTCTTGAGGCCGGACAGTGCAGACAGGACAATGGTCTCAGGGCGCAGAGAACCACAGGACTCCACGTTGTAATAAAACCTGAGGTCACAAGGCAGGGGGTTAAGTCACCATCACCTCTTCAAGGAGGTGCAAACCCAGACTGCACATCATTCCAGCCCATCCACAACCATAGCAGGGAGATCTGCCTAGAATCCCAACCACCATCATAATCATCACCATCATCATTAACCTCCCAAGCAGGCAACAGCCAGTGCTGCCCCTCTACAACCATCACACCAATACTCAACTTCATGGGCTGCAAGAGCACTTCTGGGATTGATTTCTGTTCAGCACTGTGACCTGTGAGCCAGCAGCCCCAAGCCAGGGACTAAAGCTGGCTGAGGCACTTTTGCAGTGCAAATAACACCCAGCAATCAGAGCATGAGACACATACAGGTGAATGAATACCTTAAGCCAGGGTATTTTCCCCACAGGCCTCACACCTCACTGAGTGTGCACCGCCCTGCCTGGCAACATGAACTCAGGAAAACTGTCTAGTATCTCCCAGAGGGGAAAAGCTGCCACATCTGGGTATATCACCTTTAAACGCCAGCTCCTGCCCTGCTTTTCAGGGAATGTCAGCTCACTGGGCTGGTGATTTCAGCACAGTGTAGACACTCTTCTATTAATGAGAGCCTGTGGGATGGATCCAGCCAGTCACCCCATCTTCCAGCTGCAGCACTGCATTCAGCTCCCTACCTCTCTGGCTTCCCGTTGGGGTCGTAGGGAGCCTGAGCATCCTCATCATCGATCTCCGAGTACTCACTCTTGGGCCTGGAATCAGAGAGCAGGAGAGGTTACACAGAGCCCCTGCCCCAGCCTGGCCCCACAGAGCCCAGGCACTCAGCTTGGCCCCACAGATTTTCGCTTTCTGGCTCCTCATTAATGCCACAGAGTCATCCAGCAGCACTGGAAGAAGGAAATCAGCCCTGCTCTCCCCAAACTCAGTAAGCCCTGTGCTCTGGCTCCATCCATCTGGCTCCAGTGTGCTCTCAGTGACAGGATGTCTGCTGGATGATCACTGGGATACAGAGCCAGGAGCAGCTCAGGTATACATTCATGAGAAGTGATGCTGGATAAAGTCCTCACCCAGGCCAAAGCAGGGCAGCAGCTTTCTGAAAGTAAAATCTTATCACTTTAGGATGAGAAGCTGTGTGCAACTTGTGCAGAATGGTATTTCAGAGGAGAGGAAAGGGCCAGAGAGGGGAACCCTGCCAGAGCTCAGGCTCCAGGAGTGAGGAGATGTATGGGTTAAATCACAGCAATCCTGGGCTTTGTCAAGCTAGGCTGAAAAATCTGTCTTACAACCCAACCTTCCACTCTTTGCTCTCATAGCAACTTCTTTCATCTCACATGGATCTGTTCCTTCCTCAGACCTTATTCTGACCTACAAAACACTTGCACAGGGAAGAAAAAAAAAATCAACAAGTGGTGGAAAATAGCATGAAAGTGAGGCAAACTAGCAGTGATGGTACATGAGGGAGGACAACAGATGACCACAAACCAGTCCACCTTGTGTGCAGCTGCAAATAAATGACTGGCCTTGCTACCCAACCGCAGGAGCAGAGTCTGTGTGAGAGGATGTGGCAGGCATGGTCCCCATGATCCCCAAATCATCCCCAGGGCTGAAGTGTAAGTTGTCGCCTGCTGGAAAACCTTTCCCAGTCCCTGCAGACAGACAGCAGGACATACCACTCCTCTGGTTTGGGGTACACCGTGTGCCTCAGCGCGTTGTCGGGGTCGTACTCGAAGGCCACGCCAGCCGTGGGGTTCCACTTGGCGTGTTCCTTGCCAAAGCCCTTCTTGGCATAGGCTCGCAGCCGCAGCTCCTGCCCCTTCCGCAGCTTCACAATCAGGATGTCTGCAAAAGCACATGCCTGTCTGAGAAGGCTGCAGAGAAGAAATGATGTGCAGGATCACACTGCAGCAAAGGCAGATTTTTGGTGCCCGGGAAGATGTCACCAGGGTTTGCTTGGACTCTTAGAGGGGCTCAGCTGTGTCCCCAGAACAGCTAAGTAAAAAGGAGCTGCACAGGCCCCCAGTAACACATCATTTCACCTCCTTGCTGTCTCTAAGCTCTCATAAGCAGACACAGAAACACCCTCTGACACAGGACTTCAGTTCTGGGGCAATCTGAGCGGCATTAAGACAAAATGCTACCCCATTCATGCAGTGACACCAGCTGCTCAGAAGTGTCATATTTACAGCCGTCTTACAGTTAAGAAAAGTTAATTTCCTCCTACAGTTCTTATTTCCAGTGACCCACCACTCACCATCCTGCTCCACATAGTCATTGGGGTCGTTGTCTCTGCTCCGAGATGTCACCTGCAGCAGCCAAACAAAACCAAGCAAATCAGGGACAAGATCAGCTTGGATGAGTGCTCCAGCACAGCACATCTGCCTGGTTCCCAAGGTCACTCCCACAACTGCTACAGATGACACACAGTGCTCAGCACCTCAGCCAAAGGCAAGTAGCAGACAGCAGGCTCCAGCTGGGCACTGTCACCAGGCAGCAGGAGCAGCCCAGGTTGTGGTGACATCTGGATCCACCTTAACAGTGTACTAGAACATTCTCTGTAAGTCCCTTCGCCTCTGTCCGACTTCGGCACCACCAACCCTCCCCAAGATGACTGCACAGGAGCTGTTTGGCAGCACTGCCCTGGCTCAGGCTCCTCACACTCCGCAAGCCAGAGGCCTCAGGGCAGCCAAAGAGTTTGGGATTTGGGGTGCAGGATGAGGCCACACTGCTTTGCACCTCATCAGACAGCAAATGAAGGCCAATGCGGCAAAGACAAGGAGCACACTGGCACACACACTGCTTCTGCTGATATTCCTGCTTTTCTCTCCCACCATGGTTTAAGTGGAGCTTTAGGCAATGTGAAATGTGCTCAGTGTGTCTGTGTTGTGTGTGTTTGCACCCCACCACAGCAGGAATGCAGAGCAGGATGGCACTGACCGGGATGACGCGGGGGTTGTTGGAGATGAGGTCGCGGGATGTCACGTGCCGAGTCTGGTCTTCGTTGCAGCGAACGTCCAGTGTGAACTCCACGGAGCACTCGGGGCAGAACTCGTCACACGTGCAGTCCTGGCACACACACAGGTTCCTTATGCAACAAACTGCCAGAGCTCCCCATCAGATCAAACACCTACCACCCTCAGAATGATTCCCCACAGCATTTCGCTGGACTCACTCTGGAATATTGCATCTTATCCACAATGTCATCGCTGGTGAGCGGGATGAGACCTGTGCGAAGCAGGAAACCAGAGGAACGTCTGAGTGAGACCGCAAGAACCCCTAACCCTCCTGCCAAGACAGGTGGAGGAACAGCACCTGACAAAGGTGCTTCAGTATCTCTGCTTTCTGCTTTTGCCCACAACACACCTTCATCTTCCTCCCCACCTCAGCACTCACCCAGTCTGTGTGCAATGAATTCATCGTGGAGCACAGAGGAGTTGGCGTCTATCTGGACCCAGTCAATGGCTTCAGAAAAGAGAAAGTCACAAACTGAGAAATATTCATGTGAGGAAAAGCCAGCTTGTGAGGGCACAGAAAACATCACAGAGACTGCAGAGATACACTGAGGCAGCATCTGCAGGGCACAGTACTGGCTGAATGCGGGTAAGGAGAGCCAAAAGCAGAGGGGACGTGTGGGAGAACACGGAGGGCAGCCCAAGGGACTGGGACCACAGGCAAGCAAAAGGCCTCACCTATGATGGGGACTTCTGCAATGAACACTCTTCGAATGGAATTTGCCACCCTGAGGGAAGGAAACATCCGTGTTTAGGCATGAAGGGGAGTGAGGCTGCGGGTCCGCACAGACGCTGGCCGAGGCTGCTGCGGGGCTTTGCCTCAGAGACCCTGCCCGGCCGCACCGGCGGTCCGCGGGGAGGCCTGGTCCACGGGGCCACCCCCAGCCGCTTCACCCCCGGGCCCGCCCGGCCCGGCCCCGCGGCGGTGCTCACGCCAGGTCCGTGTTCTCGATGATGAACTTGACGT